TATCTCACAATTCTGATAAGAAGTCATGTGTTTATATCCCACAGTTCTGGCTTTTTTCCTCGCTATTGATGAGTTAAATCCAGTTCTAAAGATGTAATCTTGCATTTGCGAGAAAAAGTCAGAATTGTGAGATAAAATAGGTAAATGTTATGTAAAATGTTATAGGTTTAAATAGTATTTCATGCTGTAACTGTAGGGCTAATACAATATGTCCCCTATGAACTGCATATGTGAATATTATTTAGACCTATTGTTTAAATCAAATTTAGGGTAATCACACCAGGTTTCACCCATAGTCTGTCCATTTAAACGTTAGTGTCTTTAGTCTGTGTCGACGGTATTCTATAAAAATGATTTGCATTCCGATTCTGACATCCAAAGGCACAACAACAATACATTTTTTTCTCTTATTCCATGGATTTGACCCGTTTCCCTCCACTTGTTGTTTTTCTGCCACCACAATGCACGCGCAGCTCCAGGTGACATAACTTTGACATCTACTCCAAATTGGTCTATCAGCATGATAAGAGCTACCTAAAATGATGGAAACCATCTCTGGGAAAAATGAATTTCAAGTGTGATTTGATTTTTAAGTTTGGCTTACGTCCCATTTGTCTACATGGAGAGGGCATGGTTTATGACCTACCCTGTATACTGCAGCCAGCCACCAGATGGTGATCAAAATGTTTTGGCTTTACTTTTTGGAACATGCGAGGCACACTTGTTCACACTTAAAGCACTGTTATATTAAACATTTTCTGAAAATTAGAACATGCTCACTAAAATGTTGGAAAGAAGACAGATGTTGAGAGTGTAAGTGATAGCCAATGCGAATGTAAGATTTGTCAACGCCGTCTCACAACAAATTCGTATCTATTTTACGGAGGTGGCTAATTCGTACGACCTCCCTCGTGTTTTCTGTGAGGGGTAGGTTTAGGGGCGGGGTTAGGAGCTTTCATTTGTACGAATTCCTACGAATTTGAATAAGTATGATTTTTCACAAAACGTACAAATTTGTACGAACAAGCTCATGCGAATTCATATGAACTAGCCACCTTGTAAAATATGTATTTGCTGTGAGATCGGGTTGGATTTGTGGTTTTAGCCATCAGTATTTTTATTTACTTTGAAACAAATCACATCCAAGCCACAGTAGCACCCAATTAAAACAACACTATGCTAGTTTTATCATGCTGATTTGAGACTGTTAAAAACATCAAGGTCTTTGTAAATTGTTTAAAGTATAAATATTGTTTTAGAGTTGGTTGATGTCATTAAACCTGCATTATTACTTAATGCTGTATTACCTCATACACACAATGCCAAACTAATAGATGATAAATGTAGAGACAAAGGGAACATTTTTGAGTTACTTATTGTGGTTTTGTTATCTAGTTTAACAATGATGTTAATTTTGTAGATGTTTATATGATATTGAATGATACTGTAACCAATTATTTATATTATGTAATGTTTCTTTGATGAATTTAGCTTTTGCCTTACTGTTTCATGATGGATTGTGAAGTACATAACTATAATTCCTCCCTTAAAGGGACAGTTCATCCAAAAATGAAAATTCTGTCATCATTTAATCACCCCTCCACATGTTCTAAGGCTGTATGAGTTTCTGTCTTCTGTTGAACACAAAGGAAGATAATTTGAATAATGTTTGTAATCAGAAGTCAGTGCTAGCCATTGACTTCCATGGTATGGAAAAAATACAATGGAAGTCAATGGCTACCGTCAACTGTTTGGTAAATGATGCCGGATTTGTCATTTTTGGGTGAACTGTCCCTTTAAGAATGGCTTTTATTAACATTATTTGTTTGGATTCATTCTTGATAGCACACATCGGCAGGATGTAACGTTTTGGTGAAGAGTGGTTTATGAAGAATACGATTTTTTGTTGTTGTGGAATATGACTGATTATTCTAGCGTGTTCTAGTTCTCCAGCCAGTTTGTGTTGTGCTTTGCTGGTCGTTTTAAGTAGGCTACTTTTTGAGATCTGTTTTCCAGTTTTATAAATATCCTCAGATTGTGCTGTCCGTATTGCACCTGTGTCTGGATGAAATACTTGAATCTATCACAGTCTCCAAAGGTAGTAGGTATAAATACCAAAATTATTAGGATAATGGATTCACTTCACAATCCTCTCTCTTAAGTTTCGATACACAGTATATACTTTTAGTAGAGATTGCTTTTAAATGCAAACTATGTGAAAATGGTGTAATGTTGTTTAATATTTCTTATTTATGGTACCATTTTGTACTGTACTGTACTTATTAATTTGGAGTTTGCCTTTTTGAGTTAATGGTCTTGTGTGGGCATATATTTGACTTGAATTATTTGGTCATTTGAATTCTGGAAGGTGTTAAGATGAATAAATGTCTCAGGAATAAAATGACTCAGTTGCAGTGTTCTCTTGTTGAAAACAAACCACATCACCGAATAACAGCATATCAACAAAACAGCATCCTCTAGTGGTGTGTAATGGATTCAGGAATTTTTACCTGAATGCATGTGTCTGTGGATTGATGGATGGACGTGTATCATTCATCAGTCTTTTGAAATTGGACATATGTCTCAGGAACTTTTCTATATCAATCCTGTAGCTCAAATAGCAGGACACAGTGCTATTAATGCCAAGGTCATGGGTTTGATTACCAGGGAAAGCAAAAACTGATAATGTGTATCTTGAATGCCGTAAAAGTGTCTTGTCACTTGCATGAAATGTAAAGAATTTGACATTTTCCTGATCTTTTTTCTTTTCTCTTTCTTTCAACAAAAATGACCTTATAGTTGCTATCAGTATTTTGCTAAGTTTACTTGCACTGGCAAGCTCAATAGCTCAACTCTGTTATAGGAAAAATAATAGCTATTTATTTATTACAGAACAAAGGCACATGAATATGTGAATATATGAATACAAAAAAAATTATATTCTATCTACTTGTTTTTCTTTGTGTGTGTGTGTGTTATATACAGTGGGTACGGAAAGTATTCAGACCCCCTTAAATTTTTCACTCTTTGTTATATTGCAGCCATTTGCTAAAATCATTTAAGTTAATTTTTTTTCCCTCATTAATGTACACACAGCACCCCATATTGACAGAAAAACACAGAATTGTTGACATTTTTGCAGATTTATTAAAAAAGAAAAACTGAAATATCACATGGTCCTAAGTATTCAGACCCTTTGCTCAGTATTTAGTAGAAGCACCCTTTTGATCTAATACAGCCATGAGTCTTTTTGGGAAAGATGCAACAAGTTTTTCAGGGGATCCTCTGCCATTCCTCCTTGCAGATCCTCTCCAGTTCTGTCAGGTTGGATGGTAAACGTTGGTGGACAGCCATTTTTAGGTCTCTCCAGAGATGCTCAATTGGGTTTAAGTCACGGCTCTGGCTGGGCCATTCAAGAACAGTCACAGAGTTGTTGTGAAGCCACTCCTTCATTATTTTAGCTGTGTGCTTAGGGTCATTGTCTTGTTGGAAGATAAACCTTCGGCCCAGTCTGAGGTCCTGAGCACTCTGGAGAAGGTTTTCGTCCAGGATATCCCTGTACTTGGCCGCATTCATCATTGCAGGGACAGGACGACTGGTTGCAATTGAGGGAAAGATGAATGCGGCCAAGTACAGGGATATCCTGGACGAAAACTTTCTCCAGAGTGCTCAGGACCTCAGACTGGGCTGAAGGTTTACCTTCCAACAAGACAATGACCCTACGCACACAGCTAAAATAACGAAGGAGTGGCTTCACAACAACTCTGTGACTGTTCTTGAATGGCCCAGCCAGAGCCCTGACTTAAACCCAATTGAGCATCTCTGGAGAGACCTAAAAATTGCTGTCCACCAACGTTTACCATCCAATCTGACAGAACTGGAGAGGATCTGCAAGGAGGCATGGCAGAGGATCCCCAAATCCAGGTGTGAATAACTTGTTGCATCTTTCCCAAAAAGACTCATGGCTGTATTAGATCAAAAGGGTGCTTCTACTAAATACTGAGCAAAGGGTCTGAATACTTAGGACCATGTGATATTTCAGTTTTTCTTTTTTAATAAATCTGCAAAAATGTCAACAATTCTGTGTTTTTCTGTCAATATGGGGTGCTGTGTGTACATTAATGAGGGAAAAAAATGAACTTAAATGATTTTAGCAAATGGCTGCAATATAACAAAGAGTGAAACATTTAAGGGGGTCTGAATACTTTCCGTACCCACTGTATATATATACACACACCTTGCTACGTGTACTGGGTTAGGCTAACCGAGACTTGTCATTTGCACTTATATATTGTTGCTCTTTTGTTAGTTTTGACTGCTTTTATTGTCCTCATTTGTAAGTCGCTTTGGATAAAAGCGTCTGCTAAATGACTAAATGTAATGTAAATGAATATTGTCAGTAAATAATGTGTTGTGCAGTGGTATTTGCTATATTTTGCACTGATGCAGAGATGCTGGAAACTTTTTTTGTTAATATTTTTCATTATAATTATTTTTGAAACACAAGTCTAATCTTATTTCTCAATATTTTAAGATGCTAATGTTGTCAAAGAAGAAGTCATCTCATTAAGCTCAAATAGCCTATGTATTTTCACACGTGAAATAATTAACCCTGGGTCATTCTAAACCCCTGGATATCACACTGCTCATAATTGACCCGAGGTTAACAATTAATCCTGGGTATACATAACCTGACGTTTCACACGGCACGTTCCTAAACCCCTTAGCGTTCTTATTTGCATATTCGCGGTCAGTGTTGCTGATTGGACGAACGCAGCAAGCAACCTGTTTATATCTTAGGTTTAGTTTCCTTTGTTATGCTTATCAAATTTTCCCTGAATGGACTTTTCGGTGGACTTTAAAGGTAAGAATAAAACAGTCTTCACTCCTGTTCACGTGTTTAGTACTACAATAACCTTGGGCTAAGTACAGTGTGAAAAACCCTGGGGGGAAAGTTACTAGTCTTTGTTTTATAAAAACAAAACCATACTCACTATTTTCATTTATTTTTATATATAAAAATTAGTTGTGTTTTAACATACACAAGATAATCTGTAATTGCACTAGAAATTGATCGAGAACAGTGATACCAGCTTACTGGACTCTATAGAAGAGCTTGTATAAGTTATAGAGACTATACATAGCTGCAGAGATTATAAACAACCTTTAACAAGTCTCAGAGAAGAATACTTTGGCATATAGATTAACAGTCATTTGAGAGGACATCTAAATATCACAATATATCTGGATAACATACTGTTTGGTAGTGAATGCTTTGAGTCTACATGTATTTTCTTATAAGAACGTAACACACGAGAAGGCTGGAGTTTCATGGATCACCTGTCCTCCTTCAACATTCACTTGGTCTAAAAGGAAAGAAAACAACAACTGTGATTATTTCAGTAGGCTAGTCACAAAGATTACAAAGACATGAAAGTATAACATAAACAAAATAGACTAGCATCTAGATTATGAAATTTGGTTCAGAGCAGAAAAGGGGAAAATCTGAAAAAAGACAGCGGTACAGAAAAACTATTATTTTTTTATTAATAGGAGTGAACTATTCATCTCATGAAGCTTTACGAATTGTGTAAATGAATCAGAAACTGGTACAATATAAAACTATTGACTATAAGTTTTTAATTATTAATAGCCTATGGAACATCATATGTTTGAGGTGTATTGCAAAATACAGCATATAAAATATATAGAAATCTAAGTTGATTGAAATTGAAATTGTGATTTTATTGGATGATATTGGAAATATATTGGCTAGTAGTCTTGAATTTTATATTGGTCATTACATATATAGGCTAGGCCATATATTGGCCAGAATTATTTATATATCCATCATGCATTCCTATTTACAACTCGTCATGGGATTGGACGGTTGAAATTTCTGTTTCCATGGTAACAGCGACTTCACTGATTGGTGGATGTCTCATCAGGATTATAGTAGTTTAGTTCTTCACTGGGAACTTACCAAATTAAACTAAATTTAGTTTCATATTAAGTTAAAATCATATTGATTGTGCCTGTATACAGAATCATATAACATTCCTTAACCTCTGAGTTTACGGTAGGTTTGTCGGGTTGATACATTATCGCTAGACATCAGTTTATCGAAGGAAAAAAAGAATGGGATTTTTACTTCCAGAACTGTTGCACTGAAAAGGCATCCTGCTGATTCTTGTTTACCTTGTTCATCTTTTGGGAGTTAACAACAGCGACCTGTCAATAAAGAGAAAATGACACTTCAAGACACTCCGTTTTTGGACCATAGAGAGTTTTATTTGGACACCGATGGTGCTGTTACTTCCTTAAATCCACGCAGATCTTACCTCCGACATGACGGGCAGATTCATATGCGGATGTAGCCACATGGTCCTGCGGGTTTTGGCTCCCAGCCTCTGGTTCAGTTTCCGTAGTAACCTCTTCACCTTCCTGTCCCTTGGATCAGCACACTTCACCGCCTTTTTGGTGTACAATCTGTCATGATTGAAACAAGCGAGAACATGAGCGCCAAGATCTCGAGAGCTCCCTCCAAAACCTCTCTCTTTACATACGGCAAATCCCAAATCTCTTAATCTGCTACGCTTCAAGTCAGTGCAGGCCAAATTGGCTTCAGTTTCTACTTCCAGAATTTGATTTTTACTTCCAGAACTGTTGCACTGAAAAGACATCCTGCTGATTCTTGTTTACCTTGTTCATCTTTTGGGAGTTAACAACAGCGACCTGTCAATAAAGAGAAAATGACACTTCAAGACACTCCGTTTTTGGACCATAGAGAGTTTTATTTGGACACCGATGGTGCTGTTACTTCCTTAAATCCACGCAGATCTTACCTCCGACATGACGGGCAGATTCATATGCGGATGTAGCCACATGGTCCTGCGGGTTTTGGCTCCCAGCCTCTGGTTCAGTTTCCGTAGTAACCTCTTCACCTTCCTGTCCCTTGGATCAGCACACTTCACCGCCTTTTTGGTGTACAATCTGTCATGATTGAAACAAGCGAGAACATGAGCGCCAAGATCTCGAGAGCTCCCTCCAAAACCTCTCTCTTTACATACGGCAAATCCCAAATCTCTTAATCTGCTACGCTTCAAGTCAGTGCAGGCCAAATTGGCTTCAGTGAAGAAACAGTTTGGGCATTGTCCACCCAGCCTGAGTGCATTCTTTTGCTCTACTTGCCTGACAAGTACCGCTCTCAGTAATAAAAATCTGACCTGCTTAGACGGCAATGCCTGTGAGCTTTAATAGGGCATATTTTCCATGTCTGTGATTGCTCCAGGATGCCTGGAATACTTGCATTATGGCTCTTATGCTGCAATCTGGTCCCTCTGTCTGCCTCTCATACCTCAGAACGTCTTTGGTCCGGACTTTGCCGTGAGAGTACTGCATGCAGCACTGAACATCTCGCTGCATTTGCACACCCTTCCCTGGCATAGACAGAAATCACAAACCAGCAGCAGAATTCAACACAGAATCACACCTGGAACCCATCTTTAAGTATGGTAAACTGTGCGCATCAACTGGCATGCTCAACAGTTTGCAGAGGAAATCATGTGTCGTAATCAAATTTGGACTCCTTTTTTTTCCTTTTTGGAGCTTCCTGTGCCTCCCATCATGCTTTAACACACCTCATATCTTCAGACATGCGTGAAAAGTCCAGCATCCGAAGCTCCTGATCCGGTCTGGCTATCATAGCATTATGCCTCTTTCCCTCCCACCCACCCAGATCTGGTCCCAACCGCCCCGTTCCAACATCACAATAAGATGCGAGGGAGAGTTTCACCTTACCTTCCAGGCAGCCGAAGAGGACGGCCGAGAGGAAGAGGATGGAGACAGTCTGCAGGAACATGGTGGAACCTCAGAGGGATTTTTTCCTCCGTGCTGCCTGCTGTCCTCTTGTGCTGTTTTTATTTCTCTCCTCTCTCCCTCCCTTCCCCTATTTTTTTCTCTCACGCGCTAACACACCCACAATCTCCCTCGCTCCCCCCCTCGTGTGCTGTTTTCACAGTCGTAGCATCTCCCCTCACTGTTGAGAAATGCACAACTCTCTTCAATTAACACCTTGAGCTGTGCGAGCGCTGGTGTGACGCGTAGCATAATCGCTGCAATTTCGAGCCCATCGTCCCTGTTTGCTTGAGAATTTACAACTGCAAAGCTCTCAATAATTAAGAAATACAAACCGAATTCTTCCGATATTTGAAGAAACGAGATTAAAAACAGCAGTCCACAATGATATATGGGTCTGACGTCGAATCTAGAAGGGAAGGAAACACCTTACATTAAAATGCCCAACTTTTTGCAAACTTATGATTTATTGCAGTCGAAAATGTTGGAGCAGGATGAAATACAGCCCTGAGGTCTGACTTGCAGGGAGGAGTGTGAGAAAACATTTGAACGAACAAAACATCAGGAATCAATATGGATACTCATGTGCAGACATTTAGAGCCCGTCCTCATGTCGAGTTCTTGAGTCATGTGGAGAAGCTGTGTTGGGACTTTATGGTTTTGGCATACCTGGGATCATTAGATCGAAAATATGCCATCTGCGTGTCCAAGGTGGGTGTATAAGGCGTCCATGACCTCGCTCGCATCCATGGGCCAGTCGTCTTGCCTACATTTCTCGTTGGCAATTAAGGTATCACACCGAAGAAAACGTGCCAGCTGCCGCTCAAAGAGACCTCTGATCATTTTGTGAACCAAAAAAAAGTTCACAGGCTGTCGACATATGCACACAACTTTTACATGTTTTCTTTTCATTTACTTGAGTACTCCTAGTGGAAAAAAAAAAAAATAGAGGACTGAGAGGTGGCAAGTTTGAACCATTGCCCATGAGCCAGAAACCTAACTCCAGTGTTTGTCCAGATGAGCAGTCCTTGTCAGATAAGGGGTTTGCTAACTGAACACACCTGCATTATCCAAGGTTATGGATTCGTAATATTCAGATTCTGTAAATTCAGAATATATCAAACGTATGGAAGCCATTTTCACCACTGAATAACAAAAAAGGTAATTGCTACTTTTTTCTCTCAATTGCGTTTTCACATTTCGCAATTCTGACTTTATAACTTGCAATTGCGAGCTTAAATCTCACAATTATGAGAAAAAGTCAGAAATGCGAGTTATTATTATGCAGTTCTGAGAAAAAGTGTCAGAATTGCAAAAATGCAGAAATGCATTTTTTAACCCTATCTTATGCAGTGTGTAGCTTTTCATTTCTTAGACAAACATGTTGGAAGATGTACCCATGTACATTTTCCAGGATGACAATATCAAGATTCATTGGACCCAAATTGTAAAATAGTGCTTCAGTGAGCACGAGGAATCATTTTATGTACAAATTGCCCACCTGAAAATGAAAGCCTGAGCTTCTCCCATTGAAAGTCTTTGGGATGTGACTTTACAGAGTGGTTTGACTCTCCCATTGTCAAATACAAGATCTCTGCCAAAAATTAATGCAACTTATGATGGAAATAAGTGTTGTGATGCTGCATAACTTTGTCAAAACAATGTCACAACAAATGCAAAATGTTATCAATGCTAAAGAGAGTCCAACAAATTATTAGAGTGTGCAACTTTTTTTGGACAGGCAGTGTAAAGTAAATTCTAGCACATCCCAAAGACTTTCAAAGGGGTTAACATCAGGACTGTGTGGTGACCAATCTTTCGTAGTCTGAGCCTGATGAATCTTTGTATTGCATGGATATGTACATGGGTACATCTCCCAGCATGGTTGTTTAAGAAATGAAAAGCTACACTGCATTAGTTAGGATTAAAATAATTGTTGCAAAACATAGAAGAAACATAATAATCACGGCAATAATAATGCAATTCTAAAATATTAAGGTGCCCCTATTATGGATTTTCTTTAAATCACCTTTCATGCAGTGTGTAACGCAGCTCTAAGTGAATGAAAACATCCTGCAAAGTTTTACATTTGAAAGTGCACTGTGTATAAAGTTATTGTCTCTCAAAAGAAAGAGTCGACTCTGAGTCATTGAAACGAGTCGTTTTTAAAACGAATCCCAAGCCGTTTCATGTTGAAGTCAACATGAAACATTAGCATATTCCCTGCCCACTTTTGATCTTTTCGCTTTGGTCTGAATAAAAACGCAAATTAATTCTTTGCCACTAGGTGCAGCTTTTGGAGCAGTAAAATAGCTGTTTCCCCGGTAACGCTGTACACAAAACAGCACTGCGCTCACAAACGCTGCTTTATCAGGCATTACAGGCAAGATGAAATGAAAATGAGACCAATCGGACCAATCACCGCAGATTAGCGTCACGCAAAGGAGGGGTTTGGAAAAATGAATCGTTGAACGAATCGTTTGGGAGTCGTTGAGCAAGTAAGGTAAAAATAAATGCACATTATAAGACAATGAAAGTGTTTTTTGACCTTGCATGCATGCCAACCTGTTGTTGGGGACTCCCAAAACATGAACCTTTCATTACCCACTTTAAGAATTTGCTTATTTATATACGTGGCTATGCAGTTGTTCTAAATGATTTAGCAGGTTTCAATGCGAATACCAAGTTGCTCTGGCACTAATCAAGAGTGCATTCTGGTCTGCTTTTATGGATTGCCAATTACACACAAATGAATCCGCTTTTCTCAAAAGCCTTATGATTTGCAGTGTTAGTGTAGAACAAACAATGAAGAACATGCGATGTGAATATTTAATACTTCAGGTTAAGGGGTTTATTCAAATTCGTAACCCTTAGTGTGAGCAGTAGCAATACTGATGAACACTAATGAACTTTTAGCTCTCCATAGAACAAAGATCTCAAAGTTTGCAGCTGATGAGTTCAGTCCCTTTGCACTACAGCATCCTTCTGTTAACTTGTCATCGTAGCATATTACAAAAAGACTATCCACACAAAAACAACTATGCAAAGAATTCTCAGCATGCATACTAGAGTTCTTCATCACGGTCTTAAATTTCTCATGTAATGACTCACATACTTGCTCGTCTTCATCTAAAATTAATTAACTTTATGTCCTGGATCAAGACAGAAAGCCAACTAAACTAACATAAAATATTGGTTTTCAATTTTTTGGCAATGTTTTTATTTCTGCTGGATCGACAGCATCTCTCTAACTGCGAGACCACCAGAACTATCCATTCAAGGCAGACTGTTTTCCCCTGGGGGACATGCTTTAGTTAAATCTCAGGAAAGACATGCTATGCTGCGATGATCGTGCGCACTCTGCTCAGTTCCTCCTGACCTGGTGATTCATAAAAATCTTTGAATAAGTTGGCATGTAAAATCTGGTCTTTAAGCTCCATGCCTGAAGACAAAGTCCTAGATATTTAGAGGTAAACAGTGATACCCATCTCATCCTGGATATTGAGGTAGACTGGCAGTCTGATTCTGGAATAGCCTCAGACGGCGCACTGCTTATAGTCCTTTCACTGACTGTCTGATGCATATTGAACACAAACCTGCAAAGCACTTGCTAAAATCACAAGCTTCAATTAGATTTCATTCTACACAACTACCGTTTTCATATGGTGGCCGTGGACTTTTATTCTTACTGGTTTGACCACAGTCTACAAGACCGTAGGGTGTCCTGTTTGTCATTTTAGGTTTCAAAAGTGTGCCAAAATGACAAAAGAAGTGCTTCGGTTCATGAAATCAATAGTTTTTGCAGTAAGGAAAGGCCTTTCAAAGAACTAATCATAGTTTGTCAGGTTATTGCCATCAAATATATTGTGGTTTATTTTCTGACTGAAATAATCGTTAATAATTTCTTTTTAGATTAACGTACATTTTCAACAAGTCTACATGCATTTAACTTGTTACAATTATTTACAGAGAAGTCATAATTTAAATGTTTCCATTTCCAATCATTATAATATGATCAACCAGATTAAAGGCATGTAAAAACAAACTGTTGTTGGTTCCTCACATGTTGTTCAAAAGATCTTTTCCAGTCTTAAGCCCGAGACACACTGCATGATTTTAGCAATCATAAGATCATTCCATATCAAACTGTGCGACATGGATCTAATAAACTTGGGTACGACATGCATGTAGACTGTACAAAGATGACACCTAGTGACTCGTAGGCTACGACGCACATTTCTATAGAAGAATAAAACATCAGCATGCGCTAGTAGTAAACAAAAAAAGCATTATGAATCACACTTTAGCAGTTGTAGTTTCTATGTTCGCTGAAAAAAGTGGAAGCCGCCAAAGAGAAAGGGTAAGACCTCGATGTAAGCAGTTTTCTGTTTTAGCACCAGGTCTCATTTTATTGGCTTGTCAGTAGACATATGTCATAGCAGCACTGTGCGATGATCATGCTGAATTTCTAACACTCTCAGAAAATGATCATAGACTGTCTGTGGTTGCAAGACCGTGACAATGGGCCATATTTAAACCTCTCTCACTGTACGACATATGACCACCGATTAGGAGCCACAATCACAGAAATCACCACGATTGCTTCACGATGCCAACCTTTCATCTGGGACAGCCGAAAATTGTGCAGTGTCTCGGGCTTTAGTGGGCAAAGTAATTCATAATCTGCAGCCCAGATTTATAGCTAATAATCAAAAGTTTGAAACACTCAAAGCAGCACAAATGCACACATCATTTTAGCCCTCTCGCACAATGAACACACAACACTCTTTAGAAAAAGATAAAAGAACTTCACTTTATTCAAACATTCAACATTTTTATAAGAATTTTAGTGAAAAATACAATTGGTACTTTACAACCTTGACAACTGTACACTTTTATCAAACTGCTCAAGCATTACCAACATCACAATGAAAAAAATAACCCGTTCCAGCGATCTTTCCTCTCGTTTGAGTTCTCAAATCTGAAATGAAATTTCAGAACTTGTTGAAAGTCTTCATATGCATATTTTTGCACCTTTTCAGTCAGTCCAGGGTACCTACACAAGAGTGACACAGAAAGCAAACAGTAGAATTGAAAAGAAATAACC